GAAGTTTGCGTCTTTGTTGTTCTGTAAACATGGCTTTTAGCAAGTTAGGGGAGCCCAAGCCGTCAGCTTGGAGGAACGCCAAAGGCCTGTCAAAGAAACGCCTCTCCAGCCATCTTATCTTCCATTCCGTGTAGATGGAGACAATGGTGAGGTGATGTGGTTAAATGTGTTGACATTCTTCTATGATGGGATTTAAGATGGAATTCACAAGTGTTGTTGGATTTGATTAGGTGTTGTTTTGTTCCCGGTTGAGATGTTAAGGTGGGCGTTGCTTTGTTGTTTTGAATTGGTTAATCGATGGCCCTGTTCACCCACGACTGTTTGGACGGTGGTGGCCTGAAATTAATTCGCGGGAGTCAACAGTGTGTAGAGTTTTCTACTTTTGAAGAGGATGCTTTGAGAAACATGCAGGGCAGGAATTAGTAAAAGTTCGGATAAGAGCACCATTCTTCATGAGCAATAATATCCTTGTGTGTTGACAAAGCTGTTATGTGACTCTAAATTTTAATGGATTTTATGGAACATAAAGCCCTGCCACATGCTTAAATGCTTGAATAGTGTAAGTCAACTGTTGCTGTGTTTCCATTGACCACATCACTGCGCAATTTGTCATTTTGAAAATAAATTTGTTTAATGGAAAAAAAAAATTGATTAAAAAGTTGAGATTTCCATGTATTTTTTTGGCTGCATCAAAATTGATTTATTTTACAAACGATGAAATGGAAACATTTTTCACATTATGAGTCACATAATCAACAACCGGATGTTACTTCTGGCAGAAACCACAAAGAAAACGACGACATCAAGTGGTGGTATTTTTTAATCTCATCATGTGAACAAGCTTGTTCACGTGTGATTTTAATTGTTTACTTAATGTGAACACTGAAATCCAAAATGTTTTTTCGACATTAGTGGAACATTGTCAAAGTTTTGCACACATTTGTCATGGAAAGGCAGTTTGTGTCAGGAAGTGGGATATTACTTTTCATGGGTTTTTTTTCTCCATTTTTCTTTTAAATAATCTACTGACCGTCCTGGAATCTAATTTCAATACTCCAGATAGATCAGAAAGTAGGTCATGCTGCCAGTGTCATTTTGAGGTTAAACATATGTCATAACAAGTTCTGAATATTCATCAGTGCAGAGTAGGGTTGTCACGATACTAAGAACTATACTCTATAATTTGATACCATGACAACATTTTTTCAGGCACATTTTTTTTTCATACTTTAGGGCAAAAAAATTCTACTTCACCCAACATAGTACTTGCAGAACTATCCTCTATCCTCAAATGGACCAGGGGCCATTATTACTATTAAATATTATGAGAAAATAAAAAAAAAAGTTCTCTTTCTCTCTGTCCTTTTAATCTTCAGAGTTTTTCTTCTCACACCATTTTCTCTTGTTAATCTTTTCAAGCCAGAGGACACATTTATATTTTCATCCTCCTTCCCGGTCCTGATTTTCCAAACCACAGGTGCTGTACCATAACCCGGAAACCCTCACAAATATATATTAAACAAACCATCTTGACCGAACAGGTCTTTTTTTTTTTTTCTTGTTATTGATAATTGGTACCGTTTGTTATTCAAATGCTTATTTTACAATATCTTAAAAGCCAGATCAACAATTTTAATGTTGCTTCTTAGCAAGCAAAATTAGGAGATTTTAGAAGTAGAACTTCATTGTTGCAGTAACTCGTTCCTTGATGAAAAGATTGAATAAAGTTGTTTGATGTGTATCAGGAATCAAAAGGTTGAACCTTAGCCATAGCGTCCTGATGATCTGTGGCACAGCTGCAGCGTGCCTCCCTACAAAGGAAAAGTTGTGAAGGCTCATGAATTAGCATCTTCTGTACAGCACCCCTACTGCAAAGGGCTTTCCCTCTGTGGGTGCTCAGTTCCCTGCACCGGTCTTCATGCTGGATAGCAATGGGCCGGCGTTAGGCCAAGACCTGGAGGGGTGGGGGGAACTAAGAGGGCGGACATGCGTGAAAAGTGGAGGAGAGATAACAACCTTAACCTGAAGGAATGGGGCCATATCTGATTCTCTTGTCACAATCACCCAAACAAACGAAGCTGTCAAAGCAGATCCACTTCGATATGCCGGGGATCTACCTCTGCATGCCATCACCGTCACTTCAAGCAGATTTAAAACCTGGGTTGAAAATCTACAGTGATTTTTGTTTGTTTGTTTTTCTTGAATAACGACTTCAGCCTGGGTTAAATTGTCATTCAAGTAATCTTTTTGCTAGGTTGGTTGCCAGTGTGGGTCAATAATATCCAGAGATTACTCTGTGAATTTCATAACAACAAAGCCCCCCAGGATTAGTAAAATGACCCAGCTACATTGTGGGCTCATTTAAAGAAAGAGCCTCTTAAACTAAATCCACTCGAGGGGAAAATTCTTGTGCGCTGAAAGTAAGGACGTACCGAGAGAGAGGCCTCTCATCCCCCTGATGGCCAGACCACAAGCCTTGCCTGTAATTCAGTTTCCAGTGTGAAGGTTTTGTCTTTAGTATCCACTTCAAAACAGATATTAAAATTTATGGTTAAAAATGACACAACCCATTATCATCATATTCTTTGATATAGAAATCTGACTAGTTTTCTTGCTTTCGGGCAAAAAGATGACCGACGTTGTTTCTGTTTGCTAAATGCCACGGAATACATTTGATTTTTAAAAATTTTAACCTTCAAATTTTGATGTTTGCAGACAATTCCTTGGCATCTGTTAGAATCGACCTTTGAACTGTATGGCTTCGGTCAAATGTTTTGGGTTTCCTCCCAAAAGCCTCTCGCAGCACTTTGCTGGAGTTCTGCCCCGGTCCTTTTGAAAGAACTCGTGTAACTGAGTCAAGTTTTGTAGGCCGGCTCGATCACACACGCCTTTTCAAATCTCACCAGAAATGTTTTCAATATTTGAGACTCCGATCAGGGCTTTGTGATGCCCCTTTCAAAACATTGACTTTGTTATTCTCAGCCTCTTTGAAAATGATGTTTTGGGTCATTGCCCATTTTCGAAGCTTTAATTTCCTGGTTGATTGCTTGAGTTGTTCCTTCGGTTTCCTGCATATTTTTCCATTGTGATGCCGTCTGTTTTATGAAATGCACCAGTTCTTCTCTCAGCAAAATGACCAGTAACATCTGTCATCATAAAGCTACTTCAAAGCTGGGATGTTGTCAGACTTGCAAGCTTCAACCTTTCTTCAATTCATTTAGTAGAAATGGATTTCTACATTGGTCGGTGTTACCAAATGCTGTAATGTCAGTTTCGTTAGACCCCACGGCATGTCCCCAAAATATAGACCATGTCACTGAGTGTTTTTGCAAAGTGTGACATGGCTTTTTATGTTCCATTTTGCATTATGAATTTTTACTCACTGAGCCACCCTTTAGTTTACATCAGTACAAGACTCATTTCACTTTGTGTCATGACTCTCCCTTACCAGTTTTTGGCATCATCTTCGCAAAATCTTTTGCTCTGGTGTAATATTTTGCATCAAACAATTATGGAGATCCATGGTTCTCTTTCTGATATGTTGGGTAATTTATTAAGATTGCTTCATGGGGAAGGAGTGAATTGTCTGACATCTAAAGTTGCTTAAAAATGGGTCAACATTTGTGGTTTTGATCTGACAAAATGTGACGAAGTTCAAGTGATCAGAATTCCTTTACAAGACACTGTAAGTATCATCTGTAGACTAAAGGTGCATTCACACCTGCCATGCTTAGTCTGCTTTAATCAAACTCTAGTCCGTTTGTCTCGACTCTCCGGCTCGTTAAGGGAGGTGAGAATATGCAATCAAACTCTGATCCAGATGAAAGAAGCTGACGCTTGAAAGAGACGGAAAAAAAAAGAACCCTAATTCGGCACATCTGTTGTTCTGTCCCGAGTTTCTGCTTTATGCACAGTTTCAGCACCTGCTGAACTGCAATAAAATATATCCAGCCATAATTGCTATATCACTGGTTTCTGTTTGTCATGTGATCCGTTCACCATATTTGAAGTGTTGGCACTTCTACTTGGAAACTTTACATATAGACAGTTTCGTGGCGAAAACCTGTTTTTGGTTTGTTGTTATTGGCGCCTCCAGCAACCACAAGAAAAAGGAAGTGTGCAGTAGTAAAAACAAAAGAACTGCCACCATCTCTGTGCAGCGCCATATGGATAGCACTGACACATCCACTTGGAATGAGGTCATCTAACTTCAGCCTGACACTTTTATTGATACTTGTCAGTTTCCCTTTCTCAGTTTCTGCTCTTCAGCTCATTCCCACCATGGGAGAATTTTGCCTCTTGATGAGTTCGGTCCCACGGGTTTTGCTGAGCGGGCTTCGTCTCTACTTTGATGGCCTTTGGATCTGAAGCAAGCATTCTGAAACGTTAGCTCCTTGTGATTGATGGTTATAATAATGTGTTTGCCTGTCATTTGTGTACTGATGTTGCAGTTTCCTATTCCAGTGATGACAGCGACATGGAATTTGGAAATCGCTGTGGCTTTAGCTAATTAGGGGTTTGTCTTTGCTTTACCGGGACTGATGGGTTTAGGCCTGCTGGACAGTGTTTAGGCTGAAGGAAGGCCAGATCTGTGGTGATTGAACGTCGTGGGCATCTGTGCTGCAAGTTGAACTGGTCGATCTGGGATTTGGAGTGAACTCCGTGTTGTTTTTGCTCATTATTTAATGTCAAAACGTTTCATTAACCTCTGCAGGAAAACAAAACAAAAGAAACAAAGAGGGATAACAAACACTGCACAATCATGGTTCCTCACATGGGAGCAATCATGGTTCTTACTGTGTCATGTAAACAGTCACAATAAAGATCCAAACCGAGCTTGAATTTATTTGCAGTTCTTCTCGTAAATAACCATTTTTATTCATCTAATCAGTTTAATGACCTCTTAGCGGTCCTGTTCCAAGTTAGGGGTGTCCTGGTGGTCCAATGTGTTTGAATTATGCTGCTAATGGTGACTTTGTCTTCTGCTTCCCCTCTGGCAGGCTTCACACAGCACAGAGAGCCATCAAGCAGACCCAAGTGACAGTTCAGAGGTCCGGCAAGGAGATTGAGGAAAAACTAAGAACAACTGCGGCTTGCACTGAGCGGGTGAGCCGGTCTTCCAGAACCTTTTAGTCCCCATTAAATACTCAATGTGTGTCAGCAACTTGTTGCCTTAATACAAGTAAATGTGTTTGGATTTGAATATTATGGAAAAGTGACGATATAAAGAGGATTTTTTTTAATTAAAATCTTTGAGAACATGTTCATAAATTTTTGGAATTCCTTGACTTGCCATTACCTTGTTTTGTGTAAGAGCTGACGCATAATAAGAAATAGGAACAGCATTTAAATTATTTTGTGTGAACATTGAGGAACTGGCAATCAGCATGGCTAGAATTACCAAATTAACAGTCCCCATTTAAATGTCTTGGGAATCTAGAGCCTTATCCTCACTTTGAGGTTCCCAAAACGCTACACAATCCAGCCGTCCTGTGAGAGACAGAAGTTTGAAGCGAGGAAACATTAAAAAAAAGAAATTTTGTATTTTGTCCTTTCTTGCTGTGATCTGCTAAAAGAGTTTTTCCGATTCTCACTCACGTGCAATCGGTTAGACATGTCTTTGCTATTTTAATTATTGCTGAGTTTTATTTAAAAACAAACCAATCTTCTAAGGCTCTAGTCAATGCCCTGCGCTGGATTTCAGTGTTGTAAAATTTCCTGATTCAGGGTAGAATGCGCCAACATTATCTTCCTGCCTGTTTAGCACAGTTACATACAGAATCTATTCAACATCTAAGTCAGTTTGCTGCCTCACCGATATGCACCACTGCTGCAGCATTTACACAACTGTGATTCAAATATGGCAGCAGTTGCAGCAGGACTAACATTATTTAATATCATGCAACACCGTTCTAATGCTCCATCTGTGTTAAAGAAGAATCGTCCACTCGAAATTCAAAGTTGAAGGTGAAACTGGCAGCATGACCTATGTTCTATATAAGTCTTCTAATGATTATTTGGCTCTCTGTGGCTTTCAGAAAGTTGACAACATTAAATGGTTTGAAATCCATCGTCCCTTTTTGGTTTTTCTTTAACCCCAACAGCACAAAGCAGCAGTAGTTGTTGTGATCAACAGCTAGTGATCCATGAAAATCCACCTTTTCCTCAGAGTTTCCCTTTTACCATCGGGGCGGAGATTTGTTTTAAAAAGCAACAGATTTAAAATGTATTTTCACCTGCTCTTGCCGCCCCTTTTAAATATTTCTTGAGTGTTTTCTCAAGTGTGTCAGTATTTGTGCTTGCATACTTGCATCTATTCTGTGATGTATTTATTGTTAATGAGGATATTCTCTTCTTGCAGTAACCCATAATGCCCCCTAGGGGCATTATAGAGAACTTGAGCTTAACCTTGGAATGGGTGTAAACAATATTCTTACGGCAGATATAAATTTCATGAGCAGATTTGCTTGTTTTCAGTAACATTCATTGTTTTTCACTTCATATGTTTATCAATTTTATCGATGGTTGAAAATGTATATAAAGATTAGCTGCTAATTCAAATATGACATGGGTCAAGCACCAATTAATACTATACTGTGTTTGCTGCGATTAGGAAACTACGCCAGCTAGTTCCTCTCATAACAAGCATCAACAGTCTGCCATGACAAGTACTTAGATTTTGTGATTTTTATTTTTTTTACCACCCAAAGTATGGGATGGAATTGTGTGCTAAAGATACAAAGTGAGAGGTCATTATAGCCTCAAGGCAGCTTCACAGTGTTTTCATGGATAAACTACAAAGTGGATAAAGAGTAATATCACACTGCCTGACTGATAAAGCCCTGAATCAGATCCCCTATTTATGTTTCCTCCTCCTGTCATAACCCTGGCTATGATCCACAGAAAAATCAAGAAAACATGTTTAGCATTTTTGGAATTGGCAGCCGCACAGCTGTGAAAACAAAGCACCAAATCCAGCTTTGAATTTACGTAAATTCTGTGCTAAGATTTCTGATCCAGTCCCATGTATTGGCACTGCTGGTAAATGGGTTTTCAAAGCTTTTCTATGAGCAGAATAATTTTAGACAAATACAAATGCTACAATTTGATTTCGGTTCATAAATGTGGGCAAAAATACAAGTAATCATTTCCAAACTCCCAGTGGCACACTTACTGGCGTCTGTATGCATCATGTTTTGTACAGGACAGTATTCAAAGAAAACCTCTGTTGCAAAGAGGAATAAAGGTCAGAGAAACGTGGAGCGAAGAACTTCCCTTTAGCAGGAAGGAACCTCCATCAGAACCTGGGTGATCGCCAAGTTATGCCCGACTTGGTGCTTGAGGGGGGGAGGAACACAAAAAAGCAAACAGAAGAGGCATAGGTACCTTCAGTGCTGGACACTGGCAGCTAATTACAAACAAAGCTGTGCTAACCCTGAAGCACTAATCATAAACATTAGTTTTGCTAACACTAAAGCACTAAACCAACACTGCATTTAGCCACAGCTAATGCTAAGGGGCTAACCTTAATTCGGATTGCATCTGCCCTTGAAGGACTACAACCGAGAACCAATTTAATTTTTACTTTTTTTTTCACTTTCGAGCTTAAAGAACAACCAAATTAGTATGTTAGAAATTATTTGGATAACTTTAGGGGAGGCTAAGTGCACTAAGATTAAATTATTTTTTTTTAATTTTCATTTTTTCATTTAGCGTTTTTGCTAAATGAAAATTAGCCCTGCTATTAGCGCATCAGACGTACGATTGGGTACTTCTATGTTAAAATAAAGGTGTAAAGAGGTTATAGCAGTGAAAGCATCTTAAGGGGAGAGACAAATCTGCTAGACAGATTAGCTTTGAGCTATAGCTGAATTATCTAAAGGATAAAATCGGTATGCAGTTAATGACGATGCCAGACGCTGAATTTATAACGTAAAGTATTAACAAAAATAAATAAACTCAATTCAAGTAAGTGATTCTGAAGTGATTGCTGGAGGCACCAATAATAGATTTGGGGATTTTTGTTTCAAAAGTACTGCAATTAAAGATGCATTTAGTTCAAGGCCTTTTAATGCACATCTTTACCACAGTTCTCAGTATTTTGCTGGTCATGCCTTTACGTACCCTTTATGCTGAACTGATTTTCGACAGCTGGGGGGGTTTTCATGTCCATCGTTGGAGTCGAATCTGTGAGAATTTATTCGCTGCTGCACATATACTAAAACTTAAAGGGTTTTAGAGCAGCTGTTACAGCTGTTGCTTTCCCTTGTGTTCTTTTGATATACTTCTCTTCTTTTGTGTTCTGTTTCCCAGACCCTCACCTTGACTATGCAAACTGCCCTCCTAGCTTCAGCCTTCCCACAAAAATGTTAAGCCTCCATCCTCTTTGGTACAAAGGATCTCCTACGAAAACCTGTCTCTGATATTTCTTCCATATTAAAACATTCCTCAAGACTTTTTTCAGTGCCCAAAATCAGCAAATAAATCACACAATCCCTGTATTCTAGTTCTCTGTTAAAAGCCTTGTAGAGTGGAGTGAGCGGGGCATTGTCGGACTCTTCTGAGGGTTTTTGCCTTTTCAGAGCTTTGTATCAGCCCCATGCACATTATATTGAGCCTGGATCAAGGGAGGGCAAAGTGGCCCTTTCACCCTCTCACCCACACTCTGTCATTAATCTGCTGGGTTCTAACATGCCCCCCACGCTCACTGCTTATTTACTCAGCTGACCCACTGCTGTTTGATGTTCAGTAGGAGGCAGACGGGCCCTGGGATGCACGCACACACACACACACACACACACACACACACACGCACACACACACACACATGCCTGTGACCCGCTTGTCAACTCCCTGCTCAGTGAAAGTGTAGGAGGTTCAAGGTTCGTGCCAAAGCCAGAGGTGGCTAGCATGCGAGTGCCACGGTCGCCAAGCACCCAGGACATGGAGGTTCTATCAGTCGTCTTGCTGTTTTCTCTTCGAGGCCCTCAGCGATTTGCCAGAAGAGTCCATATCTCTGTTCCACCTAGATCCACGCAGCGATCGCTATCTGATTGTTTGCGTGTGTGAGATGTCACAGTCCCGCCTTGCTGGGCGTGCGCTACAGGATCAAAGACGAGCTCGGTCCCTGCCAGGTCCTCCTTCGTCCTGCTTGAACGCTTTTTATCCAACAACTCATACAACAATTGATTTTGCTCTTATGAAGGTGCCGGGCGTAACTTTTATTTAAAAAAAAAATGTATATATATATATATATTCTTTACATATTTAAGGATAATCTTAAATAGACTGATCTCCTCCGCCTCCTCCCTGAGCTGCTATCGCCATCTGATGCTCAGCTCCCGACCACAAACAGACTAATCAGAACCAGAAGGAAGGTCTTGGCGCTGTCAGTCACCCTCGTGTACTCTATCCTCAATGTGCTAATGGCAGAGAAACAACTCACCCTTGCAGGAAAATCTGTTGTTATTGAAGGTCATGCTAACTAGCCTGAGCATGCTGCAGCATAGCAGACAGTAAAAGGGGTGATGAGAAGTGCCACACAGAGGGTGATTGACAGACCCTCCTCCTGTCTCCTATTTATTTATTTTTGTTTACTTGTCTTCACAGATAATCTGTCATATTGTCATGACATACTGACAGTTCCAACAAATGTGTTATTCATTTTTTTAAGTTGCATACTGCAGCTTTAAATCTTAGTTCTTTTATGGAGCAGTTCTGACTTAATATTTTTCATTTACTGCCAACTGTTGTGTGCGTGTTTGCATGTGGCTGTGTGTGTGTGTGTGTCTGCGTGTGTGTGTGTGTGTGTGTGTTTTCCACATCTGGATCCTTCTGTCCATTCAGCTGTTCCTTTTTAGTTAGTTAGCGCTCTTCAAGACACATGCATAGACACATGAAGGAGGCACACCCTACAGAGAGCACATGATGTTGACTAATGACTCGGATGCTTGTGCTAGTCAGGGAACATTGTGTGAGAAATGCTAGAGTTCTGTTTGAATGGATTTTATGGCATTTTATTAGACTCCTTCAAAGCTGTCTATTCTTCTTTCCCCTCTTGTACATTAGATATTTCTGCATCCTTCGGCCTCGATACTTCCCTGTGGATAGTTTCCACTTCCTCTGCTGCCACTCCAAACACATTCCTCCAAGTGATGAAACACTGATAGTGCCACCGTCTGCATCAGTTTAAAAACACGCCTCGTGTTTACACCTGCTTGACTTGACATCTCGTCAGGTTGAGGGGAAACCAGGGAAGCCAACATAGAAAAGCTTTGGAGCTCTGCACTTATCCTGATTCAAGGTGGAAATTAACAGCTAGATCTCGCTAATCACCAGTGGGTAAATTTGGGAGGATTGTTGAGGATTTTATATTTTAACAGAATACTAGAGGGGAAATGTATATCTGCAGTTTTGTCAACTCTTAAGGTTTGCCCGCTGAAAACTTTCTCTTTAAAATGAATATGACAGAAACATTTAGGTTTGCAAAGATGCAATAAGCTCTATAGTGGGAGAGCTTCTCTGGGTGATCTGCCTGCAGTGATGAGGTATAAAGAAGAGCCAGTCAGATGTTCAATTTTAACAATTAAAAAACAATTTTTTTTGCTACATTTATGTTTTAAAACTAACAATGGTTTGGAATCTTTTGGATGTTTTTGTGCTGCATTTTAAAAAAACAAAAAACCAAAAAAAAAAAAAACCGAGAAGCTCATTTTCTGTATGTCCTGAAATGTATAACTATTGAATTGTACTTTGTTTTTACTATTACTGTATTTATTTGTGATGAGATAATTTCATGACATTAGGAAGAGTCATATCAGGTAATTAATCAATTAGGGGTGCTCCAATTTATCGATGATCGGCCGATTTTATCCACCAATCTTATCTAACCTGGCAAAGTCTAAAAATCAACCACTGTCCTCTAATCTTCCGTGAGAAAGGTCTGATTGATAGACATACCCATCAGGACGTTTACAGTTAGCAGTAGTCACCCCACTGTTGACCGTTCAGCAACTTTCCTGCTATATTGAACAACATTTTGGCCAAATTTGAAATCGGCATGTAATGCTTTTTAAAAGATCGGTAATCGGCCAGAAAACTGCAGTTGATCGGCCAGTCAATCGGTGCACCCCTAACTTTCAGGTTAGTTCAGATTAAATTGTATTCAGCTTGAAATCAGTCACTATACTCAAAACACGAATTCTCACATGTCTTTCCAAAATCAAAGCTTGACCTCAGGCCTCAAACACTCGCCTCTTATCAGCTGTTTGAATATCAAAAGCCAGAACTTAGCACCACTTGACTTGCAGCCAGGCTTTCCCACGATGGGGGCTCATTACTGACAGGTTTCACCATGCTGATCTCAGAGCTCAGTGAGGTGTTTTCAAGAGTCAGATCACTCTCTCTCTTTTTTTTCTTTTTTCCCCCTCCTCTGTCATTAGTTGTTGACACTGGATTTTATGTCATTAAACAAAGGCCTCGTCTTTGAGGACAGGTATTAAGTCAGCGAGACGTGGGATAAGGCAACAAAAACAGAGCGTGTTTCTGGAAAACCTTTTAGGAATTTTAGGATTTCTACGAAACGCAATAAACTTCACACCTTGCTGTGGCCACATGACAGACGTTTTCACTCAAAGTCTTTCTTTGTGTGTTCTCTGTTTGTTGTCTTTGTGCAGAAGAAGGAGCGGGAGTGCATGCAGCTGCGCATAGCTGTGCTCTGCAGCGAGCTGCAGCGGCAGAAGAAGGCGCTTGGCAGGGAAATAGACGTTCGGCAGAAGGAGAGCGCACATCTACAGAAGAAAGGTAAATCGAATTGGAGGAGACCAGGACCACATTGTATTCAGTTCAGTTTTAAAACGGAGCGCAAGGTTACAGGAGCAAAGACTTTAACTATGTAAATGTCTAATAAATCCCCCAAATATTAGCAACTTCAGCTCTGAATCTACCAGCTGGGTTTCTGGTGAACTCGCACACGTTTTTCCATTTCTCATTCTGCTAGGCAATACGAAATCCCAGCGCATCATTTCACTTTTTCCCCTGCAACAACGGCTTACCCAGCTTTGCGAACCATCCATTGGTGCGCTCGCTGTGTTTGCTGTTTTAACCCCATGACACTGCTAAAGCTAAGACAGACACACAAGTAGTGGAAGAAATGAAAAGAGCTTCTGCAACTCATTTACTTGCCTCAAGTGGTGTTGTATTACTCAAATGCTTAATACACTTGTGTAAGACGACTTATTATTATGGTAAAAACATGTGCAACTAATTCCAACCTAAGTCCCCATCTTTTTCACTATTTTCCACAAAAGGCCCAGCAGCAGCTACTGAAGAGGACAGGAAAAGAGGAAAATGGAACGTAATTTGGATGTAAAATTTTTTTTTTAAAATAATTAATGTAATAATAATAATAATAATAATAACAATAAAAGAATCTAGTCCCTATAGTTTTTCAAATCAGGCGAAAACTTTACTTGCGTCAATATTCTTTTCCCTCGAGCTTTTTCACATTGTTTTACATTCCTTTTTAATAGTTTTAATTTTAATTGTAATTTTAACTTTAATACAGTCTATTGACATTTAAAGTCGGAGACCAACAATAGCTGCGTTTCCATTATCCACAAAATGCAGAAAAGTCTGGCGCTGTGACCATTTCGTAAAAACTCCAGAGCTGTTTTTCTTTCTACGTCTTCAAGAAAATGTTGAATGTTGTCAAGTAGGAACTGCGCCTGGAAGGCAGCCCTCGGTACCCCAAGGCGTTTTGCACGGCTGAACGGTTTCTATGGGAGATTAAATGATTTTATCAAACATACATGAAAGAATCAAGGTAACACTCTAGGTATGTTTTCGATGAGGGAATAACATGATGTAAAAGTTTATTTTAAATAATGATCCCCCTTTTCGGTCTACTCCACCCACCTTCAGTTTCTTCACTGAATGGAAAATCAAGCAAAACACTGAAACAAACTCACACATTTTATGTTTCAGCGAGACTTTGGTGCACCAGCTTTATCGATCTCATGTTGTCTTCCATCTGCTCTAGATATACAAGAAGCAGTGTGTATATAGTTTTCTGACGGTACATGTCGTCCTCCTCTGATGTCAGATTGCCTTTTGGTCAAAGACCAGAGCAACTTACTGGGCCAACCAGAGCTAATTAGCATGAAGCTCACCTATACAAACGCATGCAGTCACATTAAGGGACAACCTTCAGGCTGATTCAGAGAAAATGTTTCCTTTGTGCTTGAACTTCTTAAAAATGACCCTCTGGCACCACTTTGTCTGCAGCTGAAAGAACTTGCAGCTCTTTCAGACTGGACAGGTGCTAGAAATAGAAAAGGTATTCGGGGATGAATTGGCTTCTTGTTGCTGAATAGGACTGTGCTGGATTTCTTTTTGTTGTTGTTTATTCCCCACCTGAAATAGACAAGACAAATGCTATTTAGCAGTGCTGTTTTAGTTCCTTTTTTGGAGTTTGTTGTTTAACTCTTCTAATCATCTCAAATGCATTACCCTGTTTCATGTCTTGGAGAAACATGTTTTTATTATAAAGCTATTAGTTTTGGAGAAAGGTGTTCACAGTGCTTCATGGAGCTGCTGAAGTTGTTTTCATCTGATGTCTTTTGCTTTGGAGACGCTCAATTTTTGTTTAAGGTAGTTAAGATTTTGTCTTTAAGTTTAATTTGACTTATTAAAAAGCACAGAAACCAATAAAGCAAAATGACTGAATTGCACAGTCATTTTGCAATTCAGTACTAATTGCAGAAAAGCAGTCAGTACTTTTAAAACTGCAACTTTCTATGTTTTTTATTTTTTATTTAATTTTTTTATTTTTTAGCAAAATATATAAAAAAAAGGTTATTTCAGCTTTCTCATTAGTTTAGTGGCCATCAGTGGAACACAGTGGATAAATGAATAGTAGGTAATTCAGTTTGATGTGATGGTAACATCAGAGTGTGGGAACATGCAGACTGAAGTCCACACTTGTGTCTAAGCAGACCACAGCATTCCCAGCACCCAGGATTCAGTACCTGCTTAACGTGATCCCAGTCAGACTGAGCAGCCAACTGGCAGCACAGAGATGCTCTGCTCACTCAGACACAAACAGGAATGCGCCAGAGAAATTGTACTTTTAAGGCCAGAGTAGAAAGCTGTTCAAAGTTGACCACAACCACATACTCGAGTGTATTTATAGAAATGCTTAGTGAAAGACGGCTGCATAATTGCAAAGTGCGAGTGCACAGGTGCGTAGCTGAAATCTGAAAAAGGTGTGGTGTGAAAATGTTTCCAGCATCTCTGATTTGGTACTGTGTTTAGCCTCCTTTCACTACGCCATTAGATATGCTGTGAATCCTTGCAACTGTTTACGCCGACTCTCAACCTGGTCAGCTTGGTGTCGCGTACAGAATAGTTTGATGTGAACCCTGTTTCCTGCTGAGCAGTTTACTAACACGCGGTTGTAAAACTGTACCTTCGGGCCAATGTGTTCGGTGGACATTCGCTTTGAGTCTGCATTGAATATTTGTGGACGTCCACAGAGTGACGTACGCCCGAGTATGTGGGGAACTCTGTCATGAAACGGTTAAGACATTTTTTTAAGGATTGCTTTTGGCCCGAGTTGCCTTTATTTGACGGAGGGGATTGTGACATCGGGGGAAGACGTTTGAGAAAGTTCAATGAGACTCAAATTTGTGACGGCCTAATGCATGGAGGCATAAGTCCTGCGTTGAGGACTTGGGCTTCCATACATGAGTCGCGCTTTGCCTCTAGGTCACCACTGCTGCTGGTTAAAGCACTCTTGATGTGAATTAAAAGCTATAAAGATAGAGCCAACTGTTCGGGGCCAAAATGTTGCTGACTTGAACTCCAAAGTCTAAATCTCCCTCCTGGCCTTTAGGATGTCTTAAAACTGCCAAATCCAAGAAAGCCCAATTTGCAGCTAGCATAATTTCAGGGATCTGTTGCTAATGTCTTGGTGTGTTGCCACATAACACCACAAAGTCTTACGGAGACCCTATTTTTAAAGCTTTGTTGGTGAACTCTGTGCTCCTACTCAATATTAAGCAGGTGGTTTTAATATTAGGGCTATTAGGTGTTTGTGTTGATTGGATTAGTAGCATATGTTTAATGTATAGGATATTTTACACATTTGTTGGATCCAGCAAACCTCAAAAGGGTTATTGACAGTTTACCAGTGTGTGTACACACACTGCTATGCAGTACGTCCTCTTAGCGGTTGCCGTAACAACTACTAATCTCTAGTTGTTTTTTTACTCCTCTGTCCTCGCTGTTCTGCTTTTCATCTGTACCTGGTCACGTGGTCTCGCTGCCTCTCTCACTCTCATATGGTCCTGTAACAGATCGCCTTTGTCAGCCATTTTTCTCCGACAAAACTAATAGTTTAGATCATTCTGACAAAGATGGAGGCACAACAGGTGTGGGTTTGCGCTAGTATATGACGTTGAGAGAAAAATGTCCACCTTTTCCCTACAGTAATTATTAGAATGTCACTATAGTATCCGTCTGAATCATCCTGACGACAGAATCCAATCCAGTTGTATTTATAAATCACTTACACGACAATGGAAAATACTTTAAAGAGCAACAGGGACGACGAGTAGCTGTAGCACCGTTTCAGCTACAGTTATGGGTGAGATTACACTAAGAATGTGCAAAAAGCTCACACAATAACTCTACTTTAGGTTTTCCACATACCCTAGAATTGGCAGGGTGTGGGTACCACCACCACGGACTTTTCCTCCTCTTCTTAAAGCTGCAAGCTAACAGTAAAAGCAGTTATTTCCCCAGTCAGAGAGGAATCCCTTTGGCTCTGCTGAGGTCACGCTCTTGTCACAATTTCCTCCTGTCTATTTTCCAGCTCTCCATCGCAAGCGGGCGACATAAATCAGGCCTGTGAGCAGCATTTATTGTACTTAGCAGCGGTGGTTATTCTCACGGTCTGCAGCGCCGCAGCTAGGTTTCCTGACCAATAAATGTCAGTAATTGACTTTCCTAAGTGAAGAACAGAATTTGGCGAAAGTATTTTGTGGCGTGGTATGTGTCACCTCAGACAGAAGGTCTCATATTGAAGCCATCACCATCAGAGCTCCTTTTGCAGAAGCTCGGTTTTACGCGTAGACTTTTACCAGCTGGCTGTCAGAAAATAATAATACTCTGCTTATTGGCTCAATGCTTCACTTACTTATGCTTCTTTTTTAAATTTTCCCCCAGTCACCCTAATCTGCATGTTAAAATGTTAGTCATAAAATAGCAGAACTGGTGACCCTGTCCTTACAAATAAATCGGTCATTTATTGCAGCACCTAAATCTTACACTAAAGTAAAATTCCATGTTAGGAAATAATTGTTTTATACGATTTCTATTACTAAAATGTCTACTACAGGTATGCCTAAGCTGCATCCCTTAAGAATAAATTTAACTAAAGCGTTAGTGTCTGGGAGCCGTTGATTAATATTCAATGACTTTGTGTTTCTGATATATAAATGTAATGCGTCACAGAAGACGACTTATTTTGTTTTATTTGTCATCTGGGAATGAATTATAATCATATTCTTAAGTTACTTGTGATGAGGCCTGGAGTAATTCTTGTCAAGACCCACTTGATTCATCCTACACTGTAACATCGGGTTCTGGAGTAATCTAATAATTAAAAAGTAGTAAATTCTAGTTTAATAATGTAACAAAGCATCATTAAAATGACATAAATGAACACATTTTGTGATAGTTTCTGCAATAACGTTGCATTTTGCGCTGATTATTACAAAACACAAATGTCTCTAGAAAAGTCAAAAATCCCTATGTCTTCATGCTCCATCTTTCTACAATCGGACTGAGCAAAAACAGCAAATTTAGCCTTTTCGTCATTTTATAAACTGAGGAGAAAGGAGGCTTATGATAACACTAAACTACAGTTTCTCAAATTAAAGATCCCTTTGTGAGATCACGCTACTGCAGTAAAAGATGGATTTGTTTTAAGGGTTTGTACCTGTCTTAACCAGGCTGGTGTTGTAACTTTACAAATATGTATCTGAATGCTTACTTCTGTCTTACTCATTTCAGTCAGTGCATTGAGTTAATGTCCACTTGTGTCAAATACAAACACATTTTAAAATTCAGTCATTGACATTGGGGGGTCATTTCCTCATAACATTGCGACACTGCAATGCGATTAGAGGTCACAGATCATTGAAGACCCTCTCATGCTTTGATGCTTTGCAGGAAGTGGACACTAACACTCTGAATAATATCAGATTAATCAGGTTGGAACAATTGGAGTGATTTTTGTTTGTAGTTCGGGGTTTTATCTTCCGCTTTTTTTTTTTTTTTTTTTTGGTCAGTTGCCGTTCTTCACAGCTTCTGTGCCAAATAAAACAAGGAAGAATTGTGCCCTAAAGTGTTTAACCTGAGGCTGAAATTTCCACCATTAGGTTACATATAAACATTTTCAGCTGCTCCCTCTTCCCCTGCTTCATAGTTTAGTACAATGCAGTCTTTGTCAGCTTGATATGAGCCTTTATGGCGAAACGGCCAAACTCTGCAGAATGTCTTGAAGAGTTTTATGTGGCTGTGTGGCTTCTCATCCGACTAACAGTGAACAGATTGTCCTCAGATGAGGTAAGAGATCAAGAATTGACAACTATCCTGCTGCAGTCATAAGACCAAATCTCCATGAACATAGAAGGCCTTATAAGAATGTATTTTGATCTCTTCTTCAGTTTATTCCATGTTTTGTCACTTTGCACCCACAAATTTATATTTTATGCATCTTAATGGGATTGTGTGAAATGAAGGGAGAATGTTTTTTTTTTTTTCCATTTTACAAAGAAAAACAAATCTACATTTGTATTCACTGAGTCAATATTTGGTTCAATTTGCTTTTTCTGTAATTACAGCTGTATGTCGTTTGCGATACGTCTTCAACAGCTTTGTATATCCAGAGACTTCAACTCTGTACTTATTCCTCGATTGGAAATGGCTTAAGCTCAGTCGGCTTGTATGTAAAACCATGTTGCCTTGTGTTCCTATAGATTGTCATTTGGACGGTGTGGTCAAAGAGGAAGGTTTACTTCATGCATGGCAAATTGCAGTTAGGCCACCAAGCTTAATTTTTGATTGGACCATCTACTTCCACATTTGGTGCGTCCTCTACGTATCTTCTATTTCTTCTCCTTTTCCCAACCATGCTTCAGCTTTCCTTAACTGTATCCCTCAGCTGTCTTGCTGGGTTTCTCGATCTTGATATGGTGAGACTATAAACCTCGGAGGCCTGTCTTCGGATGAACTGGGTTGCGTACAGATGCATCGCACTTTTTTTATGTTGATCTGTGACAGAAACCACAAGTAGAAGCCCTTGAAGAGTTCAGTTGTAATGTGACAAGGAGCAGGAACATTTTGACTTTAGCTGTTTTGTATGGCACTCCAGCTTCTGCACAGTGCTCGAGTCTAACCATGTATTGTTGACACCACTGCATGGTTCAACATTTCTGCTAATATTAAGCGCCTCTTAGTAGCAGAACAGATTTAAAACCCATAAGCCACGAGAACCAGACTACGTAAATAATCCCCAGAAGCACCTGGGGCTGAATTTTACAGCTGGATTTCCATCTAAATCACCCGTCTGGTGCGAGTAGGACCTCACCCTTTACTGGCTCACGTCAAAACCCAGGAAAGTTACGAGCGTTTTATAATTTTTTGATATCGCGTTCACTATAACGGCTCCAGACTTTATTGTAGCCAATATTTTATAGCTTTATGCGGTGATATATTGAGAAACAAACAGCCAGAGCGAAGCATATGTGCTTCCATGGCTTCCGCTGCGGACCGTCTGTCTGCATCACACCGCTGTGCAAACTGGAACAGGTTAGAGACATGAAAGGATCGGGAGATTGATGGACAGACCAGATAGGGTCCAGCCGGGCATTACATGAAAGAGGCAGAGTGATACAGACCTCTGTCGTTCGTGTTAAAGTATGTTTTCATGTCATCACTCAGAACAGAGGGATGGCCTGTCTGATCTCTGTCTGATGCTATCTGCCCTGGCAGCTAATCTGATTGAGATGTTTCCTAGAACCTCTGTTTTCCCCATCAGTCTCTCACCTTCCACCCTTATGGTCCCTGTGGGGAAAAGCCTGCATGTAAGTGGAAGTATCTGATAACAAGCAGCTCCTGTGGATCCATCTGATGACATGTGGTCTGACTATCTTAATTGCTCCGAACTTACTTTTCCCGAGCCAGCTGCAATAAGAGCATCTTAACAGATTGGACCGCATGCCGAATTAGGTCCTGGAAAGTCTCCTTTTGGAAACATCCGCAGCACCTTTTTAACGTGTCGACTGTAGAAAGACAGATTATCCTTTTGACTCTTCCTTTCTGGCTGCGCTGGAGCGTCGGTGCACATGTGCAGGGCTTGCTGGCCAATACTTGGGTTGCTAAGTTTGTGTTTTGTTTTTGTTTTTTTGGCTGTTGCTGAACGTAAAGTTGATTTAGCACCTCAAAAAATAACAAGTAGCATATTGCACAATAGAGGTGGGTGATATGGATATGGAATTTTATCGCAATATATTTTGTACTCTTGTGATAATGATGAATACTTATATTTTAGGTAAATGTGTGGCTATGACTGTATGATGCAGCATTAGTAGCGCCACAGACACAAATACCGTTCCCGAAAAACATTTCCATTTGAAATGGGTTTTTTTTACTGAAAGTATTTGAAGACACATGATTTTAAACTGCATTTAATTATATTTTAGAATATACTGATATTTTGTTGATGCTCTCATGAAAGAAAAAAGTGAAGGAGATATTACAAATAGCGTTTCCAGTAATACTGACGATGTTTTTTTCATATTATTTACTGAAATTTACTGAGACGACCATAAATCAAAATTGCCAAATTGTTGGCTGGTTGAGTGAATACTGTGGTAATATGGTGAATGCATCCAAAGTTCTTGTTCCGAAGTCCTAATAAACAAGTTCTTGTTTTTGCAGTAATAAGCAGAAAGGCTTGTAAACGACGCTGCTGTTTTTGACGCACCTCGACGTTAATCGGCGCTGGCTTGGTAGAGACGTGTTCTTAGCAGGCTCAGAGGTTATTACCATGTCACAAATACGACGGGAAAGCCCCGCTGAGTTTTATATGCACAATCAGAACATAAAGCAAGTTATTTTTGGCGCACAGATCTGAAAAATATTGTGTTACAACCCCGGGCTTATTATACCTCTGCGGTTTTGTGCCCCGCCGCCGCTGCAGCCTGCCTGTGTTGTAGTTGCTCCACTTCCTCCGGCTGGATCATCACCGCCTCTAATGGTGTCTTTTCAATTTGTGTTTATGTTACCCACTCTGTATTTAGAGAGTCTGACAAATCCTATAATCTCCATACATGTGTTTGTCTGGTTTTATGTGGTGTCAAAAGGAAATGGTTTGAGCGCCGATTAGAAAAACAAAAAGGCAGGCCCTTTGATCTTGCGCAAGCTCGATGGTGGAGGGAAGCCAGCACAACACGAGGCCACCTGGATTTTCAGATGCAGCGGATCGAGGCAAACAAACCTGATCATTTACATTTTTTTTTCTCTCTCTGTGTCTTTCAGAGGAAGCGTTTTCTTCTCAGCACGAAAGTCTGAAGGAGGAGAAAGAATCCCTAACAAAGTTGCAGAAGGAATGTACGGCCAAGAGGTATGTGTGAAGATGTAATTAGACATTTTTGGAGGTAGGAACAGGAGAAAGCTCTATTTATTTGTACATGTCTCTGAACTCTCAGCGTTTCTGTGTTTAAATCAAATTATGACAGGAGAACACCCCGCTCTCACTTTGCTCCTTTAAAACAAGAAGGTGTTTGTGCCGCCGCATCTTTATTTATGTTTTCTCTGCATTCCTGAAAAGCCCTTTGGCCCGTCTTTGTCCTGGCTTGCGGAGGGATGTTTGCGGTGTGTGCAGACACTGGATACCGCTTTTTGCATCTGAACAATACCTGGTGGTTCCAGGGGGCCCGAATGGGGCCGAAAGACTCAGAGGACAGGAAATTAACACAGGCACTCGCACATCTGTCTACCATCCATTATGTGGAAATATTTGTTGTTCATGTGCTTCATAGAATCTTTTCCTCTTTTGTTATTTTATTTATTTTTTTTACTTCAAGATGGAGTCTTCTGTAGGTTTTTCTGATTTTGTCTTTGGTGGATTTGATGTAGTTGCTGTAGTCTGAGCTCAAACACGTCCATTTAATGGTGCCTGGTTTACCGTAGAAGGAAAACTTCAGTAAGCACAGTTGTACTGTTACTATATATTGAGAAGAAAACTTGCTCAGATAAAATGACATGATTAAACACAGGAATAAACAAAACCGGGTCTGATTTTACATGTCTAGCTAAAACCAAATATCTACATACTCTTTAAAAAACCCCTTTTTTTTTCTCACTGTTTGACTTTGAAACAGACTCAGCTTTGTTCAGTACCAAGAACATTTTCTTTTTCAAAATTATTATTTTTTGTACACACAAGTAAAATGAGAAATTTAGCATAATTCATTCGTCTTTGGGGAAGAAAAATACTTGATAGAAAATAAATACAAGAATAAACAAACTAAACCTCTATACTTTGTGTTTCCTGGACGCTGCTGCTCCTTCTCTCCTCTTTTACATTTGCCAACTCAAAACACATCCGCACGTTTCAGTCTCAGTCTCGACAGAGTCGAAAGGCATTACAAAATAAGAGCATACTGGGAAAAAGAAACGGGCCACAACACATATATCTTTTATTTTGGACAAATACGTTTTTTTTTTTTGTTTTTTTTTTTTTTTTCCTGTGTGATCTTTTTGGATAAAAAAAATAAATAAATAATAAAATTGTGATTTAATTGCACACTCCCTGGAGTATGCAGTATAATTATTACAAATGACTGTTTGAAATACAATGTTTGGTAGCTATTATAGCTGAAGTATCAAAAATTCACAGTTTGCATGCTAACAGTATATTCAGCCTCAGATTTGATGGCGATTAAAGTTGTAAAGCACGCTAAAGCTCACACAAAGCGTTGGAATACCCGACATTGTGGTAATTACCAGTAAAATTCTGATCACTTTTTATTAAGATGGTAAAAAATAAATAAATAGAAAAATCCAAACGATTTGATTTGATCGAAACCCATGCAGTTCAAACGGTCATGCAGAGCTGATTAGCTTCTCTACAGGCTCATCCCAGGTTTCGTTAATTAGCCTGATGCTCCAACGTCCATATTGTGAATGGATGAAAATAGTTAAACTGCGCGATCGTTCAGTCCAAGTACATCAGTTTATGTTGGAGAGTCCAAAACCTGGCATCCTGAATCTGTTTCTGTCACTCTGAATCAACTTGAAATCATAATAGTTTACCTCAGCTGTGATTTGTTAAGTGCATCACTTCTAAATCATGCGCCGTCAAAGCAGATGACATGAGACTTTATTTATTCCAGAAGCATTTCTTCTAAACAGTGCATACAGACTGACGCAGGAAGTATCCAGACATAAGCTGCTGATCCAAATCTCTACTTCAAGCTTGATTCTTGTAGAGGGTTTTGCAGGTGAACCCAAGTTAATTCATACGTCTGTCACATTAAGACAGTGGTTCCCAAACCTTTTCTCCTGCCCATTCATCCATGAATGAAGACAAAACTGTGGGAACCTCCCACAGAGGTTTCCACAGTTTAAGGACCTCTGCATTAAGATTAAAAAAATATTTTCAATAAACCAAATAGCTTGCTTGTTTCACTCCAGACAATAAAACAATGTAAAATGAGTATGTTTTTTTTAAATCTAGTTTTATTTATATTTTGCTAAAAATGTTGTCAAAAACAATTTATACTTTTCTTAATAAAATTTAAAAATGCCTTGGACCTTTAATTCGGCCCAGATTTTCTTAATTTTGGGAGACGGGTAATCGGCCGATACTTGCATGTGGAATCGATCTCACCTACCTCTGCAAAGGTCTGAAAATCAGCCGTGAGAAGAAAATCAGCCGTGAGAAGAAAATCAGCCGTGAGAGGGGCAGACAATCCACTGTTGCCAACGTAGTGACTTAGTCGCTATATTTTGCAACTTTTCAGCCAAAAAAGTAAATCTGGAAATCTGGATCAACCAAAACCAGAACTGGCAGATCAGGGTTTTTTAAGGTCAGTGATCAGCCAGACAACTGCAGTTGATGCACTCCTAGTAATACTCCCAGCCAAATACTTTTGATATTTGTATAATTGAAATGGCACAAGGGTAACAGACTCAGTTGGAGGGGAAAATGTAAAGAAAAGCATCAGCATTCAAAGAATAAACACCGTTTGCTTGATGCCTCGAAACTCTTTGGGAAGAAAAAACAGCAACTAAACTTCGTTCAGTTTTTACTCGTGCAGTTTTTAGGTGCGGATCAAATGAAGTATCTGGCAGAGTTTTCTTAGTTTTCAGCCCAACATTTCCACCACTTTCATTTATATCTGAGGTATAAAGGTTTACCTGCAAATTAACTCAACAGTACAAAGTGGGAGAGAAGAAAATCTGGGGGGGGATAAAAGGATCTACTCATCACCTTTTTCTGTAGGTATTCAAAGGGACAGCTGGGCGAGTTTGCGTGCTTTAGGAAAATACTTTTAAATGAGGTGGTATGGTGGGCAGAGCCAGTTATATGAGCCAAAACCTGCTGGACACTTCAGATCAAACGTTCTTCACCCACCAGTCTATCTGCTCTCCCACTTGCACCAAAGTGTTTCTTGCTGGGAGAATAGAAATAATAAAAGATGGCTAACCACAGGCGAAGCCAGAAAGGAAATTCAAGTGAAAGGTTGGGAGCATTTATGGGAGGATGGATCACTTTCAATTACTGCTCCCCCCCCTTCCCAAATCCCTTTTCATCTTCACAAAATGATGGGGTATTACCCACACTGCTCCACCAGGATTGGTTTAAGTGTCATACTGGACACAGGGGGGAAAAAAAAAAAAAAAAAAAAAAAAAACCAAGGGAAAAAACCCCCAACAAACCCCCAACCCCCCGGCCAAC